AGAAAGAAAGACAAGAGTTTCTTTTGTGTTCCAACTGTGGGCTCATATCAAGAAGTACATTTTGAAAAAATCACTCAAATGAGGCGGGCAAGGTGGATCAAGGCTTTCCCAGATAAGTGCCCCCTGCAGGCTGACAGGAGGAGAGCCTTTTGACTCCAAAACAGACAAGATTTACATGGGAGAAAATTGAGTTGTCCTGTCTCTGCTCATTCACCCCCTATGGGCCAGGTTAATGAAACCCAAGAATATGTTATTACTTCCGTATATACTAACATATCATGGAAGTGAATAAGAGCCAGAAAGAGGAGCAAACTTTACCATAAGCAATTCCATAAATTATTATTTCCCTCAGAAAATCAATGCTTCATTGATGAATGAGTGAGATGCGGTTTATAAGAGAACATGTCACATGTATATGACATATAAATCTCCAACATTCCAACAATGAGGTCAGATTCTGTGTAAACCGCTGGCCAAATACTTAACCTGAAATCAGAAATGTTTTCAGTTCAAAAAGTTCCTCTAGATATTGTGATTTGTTATCTCAGAGGGACACACTCACCTGAGTTTCTCCAGCCTGCAGAGGCTCTTCAGTCCCTCACACAGCTGCTCCACTCCTGAGTCCTCCAGATCGTTGTTACTCATATCTAAGAATGTGAGACTGGATGAACTGAGGACTGAGGCCAGAGGAGCACAGCACACAAAGGACAGCCGACACTCGCTCAGACTGGAAACACAATATTACGAGCTTAACACACTGTGAAGAGAGGGCTGGGCGATGTGGTCAAAACATTTTATCAGTAAATTAGAAGGAAATATTGCGATAACAATATAATTCACACTATAAGTTGCACTTTGAGAAATCATCAAAAGAATACAAGATGATAACTGGAATATATCACTCTCAAATCCGTTTGCTTCAATAACTACGATAAGATCAGATAAAACTGTATTTATGCCACATGTTTATTACATAAACATATGCCACATTTATATTACATTTGGCATAAATAGGATCACTGGATGTCTGAGGATCACTCACTGTGTACAAACAACAGGAAATGTGCAAACATAAATAGTATAACACTAATAGAGTATTGTTTGATAATAATAAAAAACACCTGCATCTGAATCCTTAAAAACTAAATCAGTTTAAGCTAGTCTCTGTTGCTAAAGTCATGACCACTAGAAGTGATGTGAATTATGATGGGGTCGGAAAGCGGGACAGACCTGACAAATGTAAAACTCAAGATGCAGATTATGTTAAGGTCGTTTTCTCTTTGAGTAGAAGGAACTGAAGTGATGTCATATGGAGCACGCAAAAATGTGTGAGACCTTTCATTTACCAATGCGACGCAAGGAAGTTTTTTGTCTCATTGTCTCATTTATATGACTATTTTTACAGGGGAGCGGGGAAAAGCTGACAGATTCACTGCAGAATCTTAAAGATGCAGTAAGTGATTTTGTTAGCTTAGCCGTTGCACCAACTCGAACCACTCGCCCCTTCCCTCGCCTCTCCACCAAACCAAACATCAAGCATTTTCTTTCTTTGTCACAACAGGAAGAGTGGGTGGCAAACGTGAAATTGGCATTTTCTATTCAGCCATTTAAGGTTTTAGAAAATAATAATAATTATTGTGAGTGTGAGAAACAGGAAGAGGGTGAAGGGGGTTAACACATCCCATTGGTTTATTTTTATCGGTCCACTCCAAAAAAAACTATAAGCAGCTGGTCAATTACATTACTATTTGAAAACACATGATAACTTGACTACTTTTAGGGTTTAGGGACGTTTTTCCACAATCACTGACTGCATCTTTAAGTGCACTAGTCAAACACATGTATTTATGAAACAAAAAGGTTAAAAACTCAATCTTTATTGCATCTGGCCACAGCAGCAGTTTTTCACCAAAACGGAACCGGTCTGCTGACTCAGAGGGTTTACCTTGAAACAGACTCTGAGATGCTAAAGGCTCACAGTGTGGACACATCGGTAACCCATGGTAACCCACAATGACCTGCGATGCCATTGTAACATGTATTTTAAAAATTAAACGGTTACCATTACCGTCAACCAGAGTCAGAAGTTTAGCAAAATTGGAGAAAGGACTGAGGATGACACTCCTCTGCCACAGTGGGCATCCACAAACATACTGTCACCGTATTTCATTTACACATCCTTACTCTAAATGTATTATTGTATTATTGCCAACAGTGTCATCGCCTAGCCCTATTTGAAGATAAGAAAAATGCACTCACATCACTGTGGGGGACACTTTCACCACAGGCATTAGCCGCTCTAGAGCCTCCTCTGAAGCATTGTACTTCCTCAGATCAAAGACGTCCATGTTTGAAGACAGTAGGAGGAAGACCAGAGCTGACCACTTAGAAGGAGACATGTTTATATGAAGATGTCCCTTTCCAATCATCTTCTGTATCTCCTCCACCAGGTTGTGGTCATTCAGCTCAAGCAGACAGTGCAGCAGGTTCAGACTTCTCTCTACAGACACAGTCTTTTCGTTCATCTTAGTTTTGATGTACTGCACTGCGTCCTGATTGGTCCAATAACTTCCTGTTGTCTGAGTTAGCAGACCACGAAGAGGGCTCTGATTGGTTGGTAGAGACAGCCCAAGGAGGAAGCGCAGGAAAAGGTCCAGGTGTCCATTTGGACTCTGTAAGGCCTGGTCCACAGCAGAGCGGTAGAAGTCTCTTGTTGTTCGACTTTGCTTTGGTGACAGCAGGTTCTCTCTAAAGCTGTAGAAGGTCTGATGGACGTGAAGAGCAGCCAGAAACTCCTGCACACTCAGATGGACAAAGCAGTAGACCTTGTCCTGGTACATTCCTGGCTCCTCTATAAAGACCTGTGTGAAGATTCCAGAGTACACTGAGGCGGCTGCAGCGTCCAGCCCACACTCGCTCAGGTCACAGTCGTAGAAGATCAGGTTTCCTCTCTGCAGCTGCTCAAAGGCCAGTTTTCCCAGAGACTTCACCATCTCCTCGGTCAGTGGAGTCCAGTGAGGCTCCGCCCCTGATCGCTGCTGATACTTGATGTTGTGGACTTTGGCTTGCACCACCAGGAAGTGTGTGTACATCTGTGTGAGGGTCCGGGGCAGCTCTGGTTCCTCTGTTTGTTCTAGAAGGTTCCGTAGAATTGTGGAGAGGATCCAGCAGAACACTGGGATGTGGCACATGATGTGGAGGCTGCGGACGCTCTTGATGTGAGAGATGATCGCTGTGGCCTGTCGCTCTTCTATGAACCTCCTCCTGAAGTACTGCTCCTTCTGTGGGTCAGCAAAGCCTCGGACCTCTGTCACCATGGAGACACACTCTGCAGGGATCTGATTGGCTGCTGCTGGGCGTGTGGTGATCCAGAGGCGAGCGGAGGGAATCAGGTTTCCCCTGATGAGGTTCACAAGCAGCAGGTCCAGTGAGACGGACTCGGTGGGGTCTGAGAGGACACGGGAGCTGCTGAAGGCCAGAGGAAGTCTGCACTCGTCCAGACCGTCAAAGATAAGGAGCACCTGGAGGTCTTCAAAGCTGCAGAGACTTTTAGGTGGGCTGAAGAAGTGGTTTATGAGTTCCACCAGGCTGAAGCTCCTGTCCTTCAGAACATTGAGCTCTCTGAAGGAGAAAGGGAACAGCAGCTGGAAGTCCTGATGAGCTTTGCCTTCAGCCCAGTCCAGACTAAACTTCTGAGTCAGCACAGTCTTCCCCACGCCGGCCACGCCATTCGTCAGTACTGCTCTGATTGGCTGTGGTGAGTGTGGGCGGGGCCTAAACATCTCTTCACACGTTATGGTGGTCTCTGGAGCAGCTGGTTTCCTGGATGCGATCTCCATCAGTCTGACCTCATGTTCCTGATTGACCTCTGAGGCCCCGCCCTCTGTGATGTATAGCTCTGTGTAGATCTGGGACAGGGGGGCGGAGTCTCCTGCTTTAGCCACGCCCTCAAACACGTGGCTGAACCTTTTGTTCAGATCAGACTTCAGTTTACGGGTAAACACACTGTTTGCTGTCTCTGTTTTGAAACACAAAAACAAACAATATTAGCCAAGTTCCAGCTCCTCCCACTTACATTAACCTCCAACTGCCCTTGTTTATAATGAGCACCATCACCTGTGAAGACATGTTTAAACCCCACCTACACACATGGAATATTTGAGGTTTAAGTTTTTTGCCTGTTGAGCATCCAGACACCACTACAGCTCTACTATCTACACTACAGCTCCATCGTAAGCCTTTGAATTTGTCAGTTGACCACATTCAGGCAGGCATTACAAGAAGCAAAGAAACTAAGTAAAACAAATGTTAAAATGTTGCAAAATGTATCTTAATTTGAGATTAAGATTTGCCAATGGGACAAAGTTAAATCATCAAAAGGTACAAGAAATGTCTCCCTTGGAATGAGAAAATTTCAATTCAACTATTACCTATTTTTTTGCAGCATTAGCGGACACTGAGGAATATCTAGTGAATTGTAATAATTAAAGACGTCATGTCAAGAATAAAACCAAAATCAGCAAACACGGAGGTCCCCACAAGTTTATGAGATTAGATGAGATGGGTTTTAGGTTTGTCATTTCAGTAAAGGTAAAGGCTGTAACAATATATGTAAATGATAATTCAAATTTTACAGACTTCCCGATGTTTGCGAACAGGGCTTAAGACACAATTAGTGTGAGTTCTTACTGGAGCTCAGAAGTTCTGCCAGCGCCTCTTGACCAGTGCCTCTCAACACGTCCAAAGTGATTTCCAGAACTCTGTCTCTGCTGCTGCTCTGCTCCTGCTGATCCTGCTGCAGCTCAGACCAGTCTGGGTCCAGGGTTCTGAATAAACTCTGCAGCTCGACTTTCACATGGGTCAGTACGCTCTTCTCCGCATCCTGAAACAGGGGTTTTTATGTCTGACTTTGGATTTACATTTATAATCTAATGTACTTACATAATGTAAAGCTCTGTGTGTATCCTGCGACTCCTCCCTTTAAATGGACAAGAATCAATTCAATACTCACAGTTATCCTCTGAGTCAGTCATGTGACCAGAGGAGTCTCTGAAAGCATCATCAATCAGCCCATACCTAGATATGATGTGACGGGGCAGAAAGTCCCAAACATCCATCTGTTTGTGAGTGTTTTTCCAGTCAAGCTGAAGAGGAGAGTCATTCAGAGCCATGAGGCAGCCGAGCCAGTAACACTCAGAAACCACCCTTTGGCATGCGAGCGGAGCCAATTCTGCTGTTGATGCTTTAACCTATGGAAGAGAGTGCTCAATTATCCCTAATATTATACATAACTAGTAAGCAGTCAAAACCTGACAGTTTGAAGTGAGGATGGGAGTGACAGAGGCACGATAGGAGGACGTATGACTAATGAGATTGTTACATCCTCAGAGTCCAGGTGCCTAACATTGCAGCCTGTCCACTCTTCCTCAGTCTGGTTCTATGGCTTTTTTCACTCAACCTCAGACTCAGTAGACGGTTACCTCTCTGTTGTGGAACATGGCCATCTGCAGACTCTCCACACTGGCCTTGAGGTGCTCTTGAACCTGGAGGAGTCATGTGTTGTTAGGCTCTCAGACGTGTGAGATTACAGATTACACATTTGGAACAAATACCTTGAAAGGAAGATCGTTTCGAAAAAGTTTGTCCATAGACTTTTTCAAAGTTTCGACATCATCGATGGCTTCCTCAAAAGTGTTCTGTGAATCAGATAAAACTAATTCGCATCCTTTGTCTTCCAACCTTTGTCCTTTGACAGTCCTAAACCTCACAACTGGTGCGACAGTGGCTCAGTTGGTAGAGCATTGACATTTGAGCCTGAAGGTCGTGGGTTCGAGCTCATCACAAGATTTCTGCACCAGGTGCAACAGTGAAGCGGCTACGGCTGTAAAGTGCCAAACTGCCGTTGTGTCCTTAGACAAGACACTTCACCTACATGGCCTAGAATGAGTCTAGTGTGTGTGAATGGTTGGTGATGTCAGAGAGCTGATGGTACAAACTGGTTGCCTCGCTTCAGTCAGTGTGCCCTCACCACTGTGTACAGAGTGAATGAATAAGGACATGTGAAGCGTCTTTGAGTGTCCAAAAAAGCGCTCTATAAAACCGATGCATTATTATTATTAAATGTAAGTATGTCTTTAGCACAGGGACAGTCAGGCAGTATGATCATTATACTTATATAATTTTATTATTAAATATAATTGCTGCAAGAAGTAAGTAAGTAATCTATATTTATATACCGCCTTTATATACCAGAGTCTCAAAGCGGTTTACAATTGTTATTTTTTGGGCACTTGTCCTCTCACTCCACACAGAGATGGGAGCGGGGTCGCCGAACAGGAGGCGCATGCCAGACCTATTGTACATGTTTTTAGTGGTAGGGGATACCGGAGTACCCGGAGGAAACCTACGCAGACACGGGGAAAACATGCAAACTCCACTCAGAAAGACCCTGTTCCGACTGGGATTCGAACCCAGCAACCGTGCCGCCCTAGAAGGGATTTGGCACCAAGTTTTGACAGTGTAGTGAAGTTTAAAATACAAATCTTTTAGATATACAGAGGTTACTTAAATAAAATACATACATCAAATCAAAATAGATTTAAGAAATGTTTTTTATGATACATTCTTAAAATTGATCATACAAAAAACCAACACAGTTTAAATGCTTACATAGACACATGCTTACACAGACACACACACACACACAGTCCATGAAAGAACATGGCTGGGTGCTGCAGAAGCGTCATTTGAGGAGCTGTCTGCACCAGGAGCAGAGAGCGGCCATTACAGGCTAATGGTGCCAAACCTGTATGATTTTGCAGACGCTGTCAGGGTCCTCTCCTCCGGCTCGGAGTTGGTCAGTGACCTTTGGCCACTCGTTGATCCTCAGGTGGTCATACATTTCTTTAAGCCGACTCTTATTCACCGGCTTGTTTATGTTTTCTGTGTCTTGAGTTTCCAAAGAGCGCAACAGTTGATGCGACACCCTGGATGAACATGTGGGATTATAACACATTGTTGGGAAAATAAGATTATGATTACTGCACCTTTCTTTGAAGTCCTTAAACTCCTTCTCTGTTTTCCTCTGTTTGGATCTGCATAAACAAAAATATCAGCACAGCAGACGCTGACATGGTCATGTCTGGCTTAAAGCTTACATGGCCTCCTGCAGTTTCCTTTGGTAATCATCCCTTGTCATGGGGAGTACGGTCTTCACATCTGGGTGACTGTGGTGACAAAAAAAAGACATGCACAATTAGAATAGCGTCTGTGTAGAGCTGTCATCAGGAACTAGTGTCTCTGTAGAGCTAACATCAGGAGCTAGTGTCTCCGTAGAGCTGTCATCAGGAGCTAATATCTCTGTAGAGTTGTCATTGGGAGGTAGTGTCTCTGTAGAGCTGTCATTAGGAGGTAGTTTCTCTGTCATCAGGAGCTAGTGTCTCTGTCAGCAGGAGCTAGTGTCTGTATAAGTGTCTGACATTAAGGGTCAGTGAGGTTTCTTACTTGTGACGGTCAGGACATTGAAAGTTAATGGGTCGATCCATGGACCGATCACTGCGCAGGGACACCTGACTGCCAGTGTCTCCATCAGAATCTTCTCTTTGATCAGAAAAACACAATGATATTAGAAAAATGTTGTTGATTTGTGAAACGCCTTGCGCAGACACACAATATGTGAAACACAGCCGTAACTTCTGTTACATTATTATTATTATTATACCTTCACATCATTATTTGCTCACATCATTTGTTACAGTTATGGTTTTATTGAATTGTGTCATCAGGAGCTAGTGTCTGTGTAGAGCTAACATCCGGAGTTGGTGTTGCTGTAGAGCTAGCATCAGGAGAAAGTGTCTTGGTAGAGCTAGCATCAGTAGCTAGTGTATCTGTAGAGCTAGCATCAGGAGCTCGTGTCTCCGTCATCAGGAGCAAATGTGTCTGTAGAACTGTCCTCATGAGGTAATGTATCTGAACAGCTGTCATCAGGAGCTAGTTTCTCTGTCATCAGGAGCTAGTGTCTGTGTAGCGCTAACATCAGGAGCTCATGTTGGTGTATGGGAACATCAGGAGCTAGTGTCTCTGTAGAGCTGTCATCAGGAAGTAGTGTCTCTGTCATCAGGAGCTAGTGTCTCTGTCATCAGGAGCTAGTGTCTGTGTAGCGCTAACATCAGGAGCTCATGTTGGTGTATGGGAACATCAGGAGCTAGTGTCTCTGTAGAGCTGTCATCAGGAAGTAGTGTCTCTGTCATCAGGAGCTAGTGTCTCTGTCATCAGGAGCTAGTGTCTGTATAAGTGTCTGACTTTTTTTTAAATTGTCTATTACCTTAAATAATAGACTATTTGATGTGTGCGTTTGAGTGCTCTTATTTCCTCTCTCTGCTGTAATGTGCGCAACGATGACACTGAAATTTCTCCACTGTGAGACTAATAAAGGTTTATCTTATCTTATTAAGGGTCAGTGAGGTTTCTTACTTGTGACGATCAGGACATTGAATGTCAATGGGTCGATCCATGGACCGATCACTGCGCAGGGACGCCTGACTGCCAGTGTCTCCATCAGAATCTTCTCTTTGATCAGAAAAACACAGTGTTAATAGAAAAATATTGTTGATTTGTGAAACGCCTTGTGCAGACACACAATGTTCATGTTTGACATATGTGAAACACAGCCGTAACTTCTATTAACCATTTGCCTTCTCATGTTATCTGTTTGCTCACATAATTTGTTACAGTTTCATTGATTCGTCTTCTGTTGGCTGCACTGTTGTCAATCATTCTCGCTAAACATGTCTGTCAGATTTTAGCACAGGCTTCAAGTGTGTTACCCACTCTACAGGACCCACCCTGACCTCTCAAACAAGCATGGTCAAAAAGAAACAGCTAATTGTCATGAAATCACTTACTTGGACATGGTGAAAGTCTGGTGCAGGTCTGGTGCAGGTCTGTGAATTCCTGAAACTTCCCTGAGTAATACATGGGCGGGCCCAGGTTTGAGGACACTGCACATTTGATAATGCAATGAATAGTTTATTCATTATAGGTCAGGGTTCTATGTTTATTGTTTTACGACTTACAGGAAATAAATTATGGTGTCACGGTGGCTGAGTGGATAGCACTCTCACCTCTCAGCAAGAAGGTCCTGTGTTTGAATCCCAGTCGGAATATGGCTTTTCTGAGTGGAGTTTGCATGTTCTGGAGATGGGTTCACGGACGCTGTACTATGGTGACCACTGCTCCTGACGTAAGGAGCAGAGGATGCAGAGGACAAATTTCCCTACGGGGAGAATAAAGTGCACGTTTACATTATACATAGGTATAATGTAAACGTGCACTTTACGTGCACTAATATAGACAGTAATATTTTCACATCTTAACAACTCATCTCAAACTTTATGCAAATGCTGGAGCTGTTCATTTGAACCGAGCAAATTTGTTTGCAGATTTATTTATAAAGCACTTATTGGAAATTAATCTTATTTTTTTTACTATTTGTTCAACTGAACTCTCGGAAGACAACATCAGAAACTTTCGTTCTTCAGAACAAGATTTTAATTCACAAAATGTTTTACACGTTTGAAAAATGTAATTGCACTTTCACACTTTCAAGAAATTTTACTCATGGGAGACTTCAATATAAACTGGAATGATGCAGCATGCAAGATAAAACTTAAGGATATGATGAAAACATATCAGATGACCCAAATGATAAATAAACCAACAAGAGTAACCAAAACTTCTCAAACATGAATTGATCTCATCTTCACAAATAAACCCGAAAGGATAATAAAAACATACAGTTTACTTACTGGTCTATCTGACCACAACCTCACATTAGTAGCAAGAAAACTAAATAAATCTAGACACAAGCACCAGGAAATGGATAATCATTTGTTCACTCATATACCTCAAAAAGATCTCCCTCGTTTAGAAAATGATATCAACCAAACCAACTGGAATTACATAATTGGAAATAAGACATGTGAACAAGCATGTAGTGAGTTAACAATGACCTTACAAAATCTTATACTTAAATATACAAAAAGGAAAAAAAGGAAACCGACACAGAAGCAGAGTCTGCCTTGGTTTAACGCTGAACTCTGGAAATTAATGAAGATAAGAAAATGTTTATAAAAAGCAAATTATCAACTAACCAACTGGTCTACAAAAGCCTTCGAAATAAAGTAACGGCACTAATTAGAAAAGCTAAGGCCACATTCTTTCTTAACTTAATTAAGGAAGCAAAAGGAAATAGTAAAGTTTTATGGAGAAATATTGCTAAGCTTTTGGGCAAACGCCGGACTTATTGTGATATGCAACTAAAAGTAAATGGTGAGTTTCTAAATGATAGTGCGTTTTTGGCAATGCATTTTAATGACTATTTTATTAATTCAGTTCAAAAACTGGTGCAATCATTCGTAGAACCATGTTTTTATAATCTACCCCAAGTCGATGAGGAAGCCCTTTTTAAATTAAAACCCGTAAATGAAGAAAAAGTTATCAAAAGTATCGATAAATTAAATAATAGTAAAGTGTTGATGGACAGTTTGTTTTTAAAAAGACATAAGGACACTCTATGCCTACCTCTGGCAAAAACTATAAACCAGTCAATAAGTAACATTTCCGGCTGCGTTGAAACCTGGCATTGTCGCACCTGTGTACAAGTCTGGGGACAAACAGGAGGTCAGCAACTACCGCCCCATTGGTAGTTGGTCTTTGAAAAGGTTATAGCAGAGCAGCTTATTGAACACTTTGACAGCCATTGCTTCTTAAACCCTCTACAATTCGGTTTTAGAAGCAAATACTCCACAGAAGCCGCCTGCTGCTACTTGACTGAAGAGATTAGATCTAGCCTTGATCAAGGAGGAGTGGTGGGGGCGGTGTTTCTCGACCTCCGAAAAGCTTTTGACACAGTCAGTCATGACATCCTCCGGAACAAACTCACTAATTTCCACCGCTCTAACCAGACAATAAGCTGGCTGAAGTCATACCTCAGTGGCAGACAGCAGAGTGTGAGAGTGAACAACACCCTCTCTCCACTCAAAAACTTCACCATGGGACCTCCATTTTGGGGCCTCTGCTTTTCAGCATTTATATAAATGACCTCCCCTCTGTCTGCACTGCAAATGTCATCATGTATGCTGACGACACAGTGTTGTTTGTTCACGGCAAAAACGAAAGTGATGTGGCCACAAAATTAACAAATGAAATGCAAAATGTTGCTGACTGGCTGTGTCAAAACTGTCTGACATTAAACACAGACAAAACCGTTTCAATGTATTTTACAAACCAAGGTAAGCATATCAGTTGTCCAAATATTTTTATTAATGGCAGTAAAATTAAAAATGTTGATGTATTCTCATATTTAGGAGTGACCCTGGATCGAAACCTGACCTTCAAACATCATGTAAAGAAACCGTAACACTCATAAGTTTAATTTGGCCAACTTCAGATACATTCGGGGGTCACTCACCACTGAGGCGTCCCATCTGTATCTGAACTCCATGATCCTGTCACATTGTGTATACTGTGTCTCGAGCTGGTCTCAGGGCTGTAAAACCACTCTGGGACCTCTCGAGTCACTGTACAAGTGTGCCCTTAAGATCCATGATAAGAAGTCCAGGCGGTACCATCACTGTCCCATCCTCTCTAAATATGACTTTCTCAACTTTGAAAACCTAACATTTTACTCCAATGTTTGTTTGCTGTTTAAAATCATCCACGGTGTTAGTGCACCTCCTCTAAGAACATTTGTTTCATTGAGTGCAGACAAAATGACCAGAACCACTCGATCCACTTCTAGAGGAGAATGCAGCGTCAAAAAATGTAGAACAACTTTTGCTAAATCTGCTTTTTCTGTGACGGCCATGAGTCAGTGGAACACACTGCCCACAGAGATCATTGTGTGTACTACATTTAAAACATTTTCTTGGCTGACTAAGAAATGGCTTCTGAAAAAGCAAGTTCGCACGCACGAGTGAGTGA